ATTTCTGGGGAGTTATTGCACTTAAGTAGCTGAAGTCATTCAGACTTTGGCGTCATGCCTCACAGTCTACCTGAGCCTTGCAGTAATTCTCCTTAAATTGCTGGATGGAAGGTCTGATTGCATAAATAGTATGTCCATTCAAACCAATTGTTGCCTGCTACCTTCACTCTAAAGTAAGGGGTCAGCTGTTTTTGTAAGCATGTACTCTGCCATCCATGATAAATTGCCCTTTATATCATCCTATTTGTATTACTGTAGTCAAAGGATCATACAGCATAAGTGCATCAAATGTGATGCTGAGGGCTTGGTCCTCAGCTGACAACACTGCTGCTAACATTCTGTCTGAATTCCTTCCATATTTCAATTGGGTACAGCCGTGTTCTTCACTTCTGACCAAAAGTGTCATAGTGCGTTGTTAAACAACTCCCACGTTTTACCCCAGAGCTGGATGAAGTGCTGGATGAAAGTGACTTCAGTGTATAATTTGCATATCTATTTGTAAAGCACTTTTTGGATATTTTTACATTAAGCATATGCACAACTACTGCCCTGATTAGGGTGACATTCCTGAACTGTGATCCCCTGACACCAGAAAGATATCTCCATGGCCATCTTTAACCCCTGGTGTTTGATAAACTATTTCTCTGACAAGAAATAATTGTAAAAGCAGATTAAAAATTGCACAGCATGATCAAGGTGTATTGTCTGTGCCTTTTGGAATTTTTGGTGATACCCAAAATAGAACTTCCCCCTTAAAGAGTTGGTGGGCCATATTTTGTCCTTTGATACCCATCTCCATTGGAAGTTCTGAGGGCATCTCCAAGCACAGAATTTGTGTCACTGCTGTCAGCTCTCAGGGATTTTTGTCATTGTTCTGTTTACAGAACATTGTGCCGTAGCTAGACCTGCAAGCCACCCTGAGTTGGTCTCTTAGAAAATGTTTTAGACAGCTTTAGAAAGTTAGATAAAACTGTCTTACTTCAACTTAAGTTGCAAGAGTTTCAACCACCCCATGTCCTAAGCAGGACTACTTTTACCATCAGCAAACCCAGGTCACTGAATTAGTTGGGAATGAGAAGTCCAGGGATCTGCAGCATTACTCCTCCCTTCCACTCTCCCTACTGATCCATTCTTGTGAGCTCACAGGGGATCGAAGCTCAAAAGTTTTCTCCTCTTTGAAGTACTTGGAATTTGACCGTGGGTCACTTGCTGGCGTCAGTTTTAAAACTAGCTGGGGTTTTGGAGGAATATTTTAAAACAGAAAATGTGTTGTTATTTTTTTAGCGGGGAGCTGGGAAAGAATAATTTGGATCTGTGAGCCTTCACTGGGTAACTTTTTAAATTTCCTAATGTGGCAGCAGGATGCTGATCAAGGTGCTGACGTGTCCTCAGCTTCCCTATTACTTTCTCAAAGGGGTAAACACAAAGGTTCCAAGAAACAAAAAACAGAGACTCTTTGCCAGTTGTTATGAAAAAAATTAAGTAAGTCTCTTGACCTTAAAGCAGCGGGTCTCTGAGTGCTTGCTCTTCTGTTACACCACTCTCCCTGATTCCTCTCTGAAGCATCCCTAGCTGTAGGAGGTTTGTATAAGAGTTTTGAATATTTTCTAATCGGTGAATATTCCCCTAGCTCTGATGCTAGCTTGCAAAGCACAGAGGTATGGGAAAAGGGAAGAAGGATAACTTTTCTGAGGCAACCAACTGAGAAGAGGTTAAAAGTGAATGGTGAGACACAGCATGAAAAACCTGGTAAAGGTTATACAAGGCGCCCAAAGACATTGGCCCAAAAGGTGCTTTGTAGTTTTTGTCAAGGCAGAAGCTATTTGCCGTGCTTTATTCCAGAATAAAGGAAAAAAGTTTCTTCATCTCCGTGCCCTATTTAAAGAAACTCTTGTTTTCAGGCGTTTCTACTGGCACAACCTTAACTTGTCCTCCTTGTGCAGAAGCATTATGATACATGTGCTCTGGGTTGTATAGGGCCCCTGCCATAGGTTGCATCATGAGAGGGACACCAAGCAGTGCAGGTTCTCTACCTGGCTGTGCTGCAGACATCTTCCATGGGGCTGGGTAGAACTCTCATAATGGATTAATGCGGGTGTAGGTTAAGGTTGCATACGCAATCCTAATTGGGCATTTCCTAACCTTTGGGGTACCTGAATTTTCAGGCTTAACATTCTTATAATGTAGCTTTTTGCATAGACTTGAAGATTTATATCACAGTAGCATTTACAGATCTCAATCAAGATGAGGGCCCAAGCATGCTAAGTGCTGTATATACACAGATCAAGACACAGTCCGTGCCCTGAGGCCCTCACAGTCTAAGAAATGATCTCTTTAATATATGATAGTGCCTCTCCCCCAAGTGGGCCCATCTCCTGGCAGAGGGCTGGTCGTTGATCTAGCTGATGGCAGCCATCTTGTGGAAAAGTGACGTAACTTGTGATCCCGCTGGTATCGAGAGCCAGCATTCATCGGTTTCCGTTCTGCTCCAACACAGATTTAACAAATGGGAAAAGAACACTATGGATTAAAAATTAAAAATTTCCTTCAATTATTAAACATGAATAATTTTCATGCAAATCGAGCCTGGATTCGTGTTTCCAGACGGACGCAGATCAAAGCTATTATGCTGTGAAGTGTCAGCGACCTGTGAACCAAGAGGCTGGTCGTTATTTTTATCCTTTTATTAATAGTACCCTGAAGGATGAGGGACCTAGAGCAATGTAGCTGTTTAGCATAAAGAAGACTTACATTTCTGTCTGCGGGGATCTGTGCTCCTCTTTAACTTGTTCATTTGCATACCGAGAGAGAGGAACTGGGGGTATAGCACCTTGATACCATTTGAGCAGGAAAATACTGATAGGTATACAATTAGACCGCAACGGCTAAGTGAGCCCATCGCCGGAGGTGCTTTTAATTAGTCCTGTTTGTGGTGTGAAGGAAATACATGCAGAATGTCCCTGGGTCCTGGAGAGAGGATTGGGAAAATGTGGAATTCTGACTCCAGAAATACATATGCGGCTTTCATGAAGTCAGTGGGAGTTGTGTGTGTATATCTGAAGGCAGTTTGGCCCTGAATACAGATGTCTAAGTACTATATTGAATCCTCTCCAGATAACTTCATCTGAATGGAATGAATAACTTCACATGGAAAAACTTGAAAGGAACACAAGGCGGGAGGAGTTGACTTTTCAAATAAAGAAACATTAATAGTTCAGTGAGCTCCTCATGTTATGAACCCTTGTTGCTTTAATATTTCCAGGCATTCGAGTAGGATACCCCATTTTGCAACGTAATTCGTGAGGGCTCAGTCTGTTGCTCCATTCACAAGGGCTGGGGTTTCATAGGTCATCTGACTCTAGGTGTCTGCCTTGGGCTGGAAGGTTCCTAAGGAACTTGCCTGGTGGAAAGCAGGTAAAATCCAGAGTGCAAGGAAAGCCTGGGAGACGCCTTCTGAACCCGGGCAGCTGTTTGTCACAGTGCTACCATTTTGGGCCTGATTCTGGATCCTTTTCTTATGCTGAGTGGAGCCTCACTCTGCAAGTAGCTCTCCCTCCACCCCTCCCACATGCACCAGGCAGGGTTCCCTGAACCCCACCCCTCACTAGCTAGGGCACGCTGCCTTCCCTAGACCTGTCCCCCTCCCACACCAACAGCCACCACAACACCCACTGCTGAGGAGACCTTGGGGGTAGAAGAATCACTGATTTTTCTCTCACTTGAGAAATGCCACCAAAACCTGGGCAGCTGGCTGGGGTGGGGTGGGCAAGGCATGAGGTGGATTTGGAGAGGAAGGGAAGGAAGAGTATTTTCCCCAGAAGATGTCACACATGGAAAGTTTTTTTTGAGGAGAGCCCCCTGTTATACTTTCAGCAGCACTTCACTGATTGGTGAACTGAGGGAGACCCTAAACCTCCAATTGCAGAAGCTGGGGCTGGACAGCAGGGGACAGGTCACTCAAAATTGCCCTGTTCTGTTCATTCCCTCTGAAGCGTCTGGCAGTGGGCGCTGTTAGCAGACAGGATACTGGGCTAGACGGATGATTGATCTGGCCATTCTTACGTTTTCATGAGCATATAGAATTTTGTTTAACATTTACTTCTGCTTAATGTGACATTAATGTGGTTTAGGGAGCTACAGTGAAATTCAGTGGTATTGGGTAGCCTTTTCTGCTCTGTCTGAACTAATTGGTGGTGTCAGTCCAAAACCTAATGGTGAGCCTCACAAAAATTCACCCTCGTGTTTGGCACCATTGCTGGTTGTTTTCCGTAGAGGGATCAGTGATGGATACTCAGCTGACTTCTTTCGAGAAATGCTCCTTCATTGGCCTGTTCCGTGGATAAACTCCTTTTCCAATGGGGAGGAAGTGGAACTGGATACTTAACTGGTATGAATCCAGTGAAGTCAATGGAGCTGTGCTGATGTACATTAGCAGAGAATTTAGTCCCCAATACCTTTCACAAGAATTAAAGTGACTTAAAAAAAAAACTCTAAAGAAGAATCAGTGCAGAAAGTTAAATCCTGATAACCATTATGAACCTGTAAATATTGTCCTTTCTGTGGCAGAATGTCAGCATTTAATATTTCCTGATTTGGCATACTATACAGTTTGGTGTCAAGTATGTATCCATCTTAAATTAAGAGACTTGATATAGAATTCCTGTTAATTTCAATTCAATATGAGAGAGAGAGCGAACTTGCAATCCTAGCCCATTTTTGTAATCAATATTTTCTTTAAAAGCTGAAGTTTAACTAGATCAGAGTTTTTGTTGTTTGAAATGTAACTGGTGTTTAAAGAGTTTATAGACTCCTCAGATCTTATATACTCCTCTGATCTGATATAGTTCTACACTAGCAGTGACAGCTACAGATGTGGATATGAGTCAGTGGATGAACAGCAGTGTGAATAGGACCTCAGTCTTAGCAACAAACATATTACAGGATTTGTTCTCCCATCTCAGAGTTTGTCTTTTAATTCCTTGTTTTGTTTTTATTTTCAGAAGCCTTCGAAATTGTAGTACGGCATGCAAGAAACTACACCAACACCATGTTTAGGAACCACTACCAGAACATGGGGTCCAGAGCTCTTAAGTTTGTTGGAGAACTTTTTACAGATATCTCGCTTTATATACTGGGCTCTGACATCAATGTGAATGACATGGTCAATGAATTTTTTGACAGCTTGTTCCCTTTAGTCTACTCACACTTGATGAACCCAGGCTTCCCTGACCCCTCCGGAGAAATGATAGAATGCCTGCGGGTAGCAAGGCGGGACCTCAGGGTGTTTGGTAACTACCCCAAGATTATGATGACCCAGGTATCAAAGTCATTGCAGGCCACGCGAGCCTTCCTACAAGCGCTCAACCTGGGGATCGAAGTCATAAACACTACCGACCACTTAAAATTCAGCAAGGAATGTGGACGCGCACTGCTGAGGATGTGGTACTGTTCTCATTGCCAAGGGCTACTGATGGCGAAGCCTTGTGCCGGATACTGCAGTGTTGTGATGCAAGGGTGCCTGGCCAGTGTTGTGGAGATAGATAACTACTGGAGAGAATATATTCGATCCCTGGAAGGGCTGACCAAAGGCATGTATGGAATCTATGACATGGAGCATGTCCTGCTTAGTCTCTTCTTGTTGATACAAGACTCGGTCGTGTATGTCCAGAAGAATGGAGGGAAGCTGTCCGCAACAGTGAGTTCTTTTAAATATTGCTATGTCCTCTTTGCTACAGCCATCTTTTTCCATGTGATCAGGCTATCCATTGAACACGTGGAGCCTCATGTATTTTAGAAAAACTTCCATTAAAACAAGCAACTCTTTCCCCCAGGCTCTCTCCCCCCGATTCGTTCTGACTTCTAAGACTTACCTGAACCTGCCGTATCGCAGAACTGGGGTTAATTCCCAGCTCAGGCTCTGGGTTGTCAGGAGCTGGGAATGTGCAGTGGTGACCGAATCCCACTTTGGATCTCTCAGCAGCAGTTCCCATCCGTTGATTTCAGGTTATATGAGACACCTGGAGAAAGGAGCTTCATTCAGTCTGTGTCAGTCTGAGATGTGTGGCTGTGATGCTGAACATCTTGGGAAATGAATGGGGGATCCACAGGATTTCAGCTGGGGTGTGAAGCATGGCAGATGGTGGAGGAGGGACCACATTCCTTCCTAGTTTAACAGTAACTGTCTGGTGCCTGGTTGCTCCAAACACCAAGGATGGCACATCCTGTATGGTACAGTCCGGGGTGGATACAAATCCATGATTTTTTGTCTTTCAGATTTCTTTTATTTAAATGAGATTTTTTGATGTGGGTGTTTAAATTATAATGTTTTCTTTTTAAAAACTAATCCTGTTTCAAATGAAATCTGAATTTAATATAAAATATGTCAAAGCCTAAACTACTTATAATCTCTAACAATATTTACGTAAAAATAAATATGCGGAATCCATGAGCCTCTGTCAAAACCTTTTGAGTGAAAGGTTGCTTTTCTGTAGAAAGAAAGAATGAGGGGCAGGGAACATCTAGTTTTATAAATATATCCGAGTAAATCACATTCTTGTACTAAGGGATTGATCCCTTAGTGAGGGCCCCAGAGTCTGTGCCATTCGGTACAGAAGACTGGCAAAGTCCACACAGGCATTGGAACCTGGCCTCCGACCCCAGGAGACACCATCATGTCTCTCATTGGTGTCCTCCACTGAGCCCACCCGGGTGGTGTCATAATCCTATTTTATAGCTTCTCCCTATCTGAGCTCTGATTGGCTCAGTTCTCAAATTATGAATATTTATGACTATACCCACCATGGAAACTTCCTCTGCAGCCCATGGAAAAACACGGATCTGCCCAGAAACGACCGGGGTAGATGGTTCTGGGCACTTCAAGTAAGTGGCCTTGCTCTGTCTCCTTGCACATGTACACAGAGAGACACACAAGCAGAAATTCATTAATTTCTGAACTGCCTCCCTCTCTGTCTCTAAACACGTACAGTACTGCAGCGCATAAGGCGTATAGGCTACATGAGCAAAAGTCTTGGATTGTTGTTAGTTCTTTTGTTTTCCTGGTGGGAGGGGCAGGGGAGTTATGTAACAAGGGAGAAGGAGCGGAGTGTGCAGCTGGAAAGGAGCAACAGTGGTGTGAAAGCTGTGGGAAGAAGGGACAATATTCTTTAGAGCGCAGCCTCTGGGATTGATTGCAACACCTGGGAACTGGAGAAAAAACCTGCTGTGTCTGCAGGTCATAGAATCATAGAATATCAGGCTTGGAAGGGACCTCAGGAGGTCATCTAGTCCAACCCCTTGCTCAAAGCAGGACCAATCCCCAATTTTTGCCCCAAATCCCTAAATGGCCCCCTCAAGGACTGAACTCACAACCCTGGGTTTAGCAGGCCAATGCTCAAACCACTGAGCTGTCATAAAGAGACCTTCTCTGGGAATATTTTCAAGAATTTCCTGTACATCTGGGTGAAAAAGGAACGGGTGTAATGTAAAGTTTAAATGGTGTGCCGAGGAGATGTAAGGACTGGCTGTCAGAATGAAACAGCATTATGGAAAATGCTCCTCAGATGGCAATGACTTTGAAGATGATGATGTGGACATGTCTGAACAACCTGAATCAGCTGGTTAGTAAACTTATTTTTGAACCATTCTTATGGACTGCCGAACATGTCCTTACTATGCTAATAGACGATAACTTAGATTATGGTCATAAGTTTGTGTTTTAAGTGGATTGATTGATTGCTTCTGAATTTCAAAATGTTAGTGGTCAGAATATAATGGGTATGTTAGTTTGTGGGAATATTTATCAAGTACATTTGTACGATTACTGCTGGACTTCTGACATGATATTTTATTGCTCTATATAACCAAACATCTTAGGTGAAGATAACCTGTTTAAAAGTAAAGTTTTATTTAGGCCTTTATGAATTTAAACTTTCTGAAAACGTTTTTTTTCTGAGTTGTTTGGTATGTTGCTACAAATAAGGGTTTAAATAGATTTTGAAAATCTTATGATTTATTATTAACTGGGTTTAGAATAAATTAAATCGTTGAAACAGTGGTACAAACAGCTACAGTGGGAGGAATCTTTCATTTACAATCCCATTTTTTAAAGCAGCGCATTGAGTAATACTCAGGGAGTGAGAATGACTTGTTTTTATGATTTTGTTTCAGAGCCCATCTTAGACATAAGAGGTTGTGAATGTCCATCATCTGCAATGTGTGCACTTCAGAATCATCTGCTGCAACTAAACAGGTGTCAAACAGTAAATTACCCGTATCGAAAAAAATACTTTCTTCATCATCCAGTAAAACCATGGCTGAGTTCGTAACCAGGACCGTCAAATTCCAGGCAGACTCCTTAGATGAAAAGATTGCTGGGTTCATTTATGCAATAAATTCTCCTTTTCCCCTTGTTCAGAACAAACTTTTCATTGACATGGTTCAAGCATTTATGACCAGAAAAAAGAAAAGGAGGACTTTGTGGCACCTTAGAGACTAACCAATTTATTTGAGCATAAGCTTTCATGAGCTACAGCTCACTTCATCGGATGCATTATGACCAGGTTACACTCCCCCTGGGAGAGAAGACATTGCTGGAAGGTTGCTGGATACAGGGTATGAAAAGGGAACGGAACAGTGTGCAAAAAACATTGACGGGAAAGTCGTTAATCTGAAGGCAGGTCTACGTGTAAGACACTACAGTGCAGCAGCTGCAGCGGTGCAGTGAAGCACTTCACTTCTCCCGTCGGCATAGTTAATCCACCTCCCTGAGAGGCAGTACCTATTTCAATAGGAGAAGCGCTCCTGTCTACACCAGGGGATAGGTCAGTATAACTACTTCGCTAAGGGGTGCGGGGAGTGATGTAGTTATACTGATGTAAGTTTATAGTGTAGACCTGGCGTGAGCCTTGATGTGTGGAGTAATGTACGCAATGATCCAACAATAAGTGCTGGTGTGACAGCAGAAAGAGGGGGTCTGTCTTAGGGAAATAATTGATACACCAGGAAATGCCCATACAGCAGAGTACTTAAAAGAAGTATCTGTGAAAGCTGTCACAAACTGTGAACAAAAATTCAAGTGTCAGTTGTGTAGCTTTGTCACAGACAGTGCTGCAAATGTAGCAAAGATGAGAAGAAGTCGAGAAGAAGGTAACAAAGGGAACCTGAAACTTGTAACATATGGGTGCAGTGCTCATTTGATGCGTCTTTTAGCTAGCGTCTTATGCTGAAATAGCAAAATCCTTACAGGAGAACCACTCTGCTTCAGCCTCCCCGAAGAGAGGAGGTGGAGCCAGACTGATTCTCCCCCAGGACGTACAGTGGAATTCAGTGGTCGACTGTTCTGAGCTGTGAGTTCAGAGCTGGCCCACTGTGACGAAAATTGGGACCAAATAGATGGAACGACCACAGCCACAGAAGCCAAGACTGGAGGAGAGAGCCATGTGGCAGACACGCTGAATACGCTGAAACCGGCTTCCAGAGCCCTGGACAAACCGCGGGGAGATTGCTGCTGTGTGGCTGACGCCGCTGACATTTGGAAAGAACTTCAAGGGGCCTTGACAACAGAAGTACCCAACACCACAGTTAACCTGCAGGCAGGAAAGAGGCGGCTGGATCAAGCAAAGTACCAGGGTAGATGCCTAGCTGCTGGAGAAGATGCTGCTGTGACCTGGGCGTCTAATAATCACCATCCACTCGTGCCATCCATAACACCTTTCAGGGCGGAAGGTGCTACTGGAGCAGTGCATGTTTGCTGACGCTGTTTTGAGGCGAGTCAGACCACTGAACCTGGGGGAGTCGCTAGCTAAGCGCCCGGAACCAGAGGCCGCTGAAGTGCTGACCCAGCTTCGGACAGCGGTAGCCTCTTCTGCAGACACAGAAGGAATATTTACTTCATTTGGACAATTCATTCAAAGTTGAGAGATCGATTGGGAGTTGAAAAAGAGGAAAACATGTCTCTCTCTTCCAGTCTGTGAATAAAAATGAGGAGAGAGGGGACGAGATCTCCTACTTTTAAAAGTTTGTAGGGCAGCCTAAGTAACTGAGGAGACTGTTGTTTCATTTTTCAAGAGACTTAGGCGACAGGAACTTAAGCTCCAGTCACTCTCTGTTAGGCATATTTGAAATTTTTCCCAGGCTGACCTGAAATACTCAGTTTAATTCACTGACTACAGTAAATCCCTCTGTTTACTAAATCGTTTAATTGTAAATGTGAATCATGTTTTTATAAGAGAAGTTTAGGTATGCAAACATTTAAGGTTGTTTTTCTTTAATAAAAATAAATTGTATCTGCTGTTTGTGTGTGTTTAATTAAGTTCCAGTTACCATCCCAATGCGGCTTGACACAAATTGTGAGCCAAAAAAGAGTTAATTATCTAGTAAATAAGCAATAAATCATTCACCATTTTCTAGCATACTAAATATGTGCAATCAATAAGGATCTGACATATTCAGCTATATAATTGCTTCGATAAATGTATATGGTTATAGTGTACCCTGATAGGTTAGCCCTCCCTCCCCCAAGTACCCAATCTAGTGTAAAAGCTCTATTTAGTTGTAAGTCAACATGGTTTAATGGTTATATCAACCAATGAGAATGCACCTCTAATTAGAAAATAACTGAAGTACAAAAGGAAAAGTGGACTAAAATAGAAGATTTAAATCCACCCACCCTGGTATTCTGTGTTCTGCATCACTACA